CATCATATCTATGTACTTAGTAAGTTTATTTAATACCTAGGAGCAGAGAAGAAGATTTTCAAAGAATTTGTGTATTTTCACTATATAATCAATAGAGCCCTGCCCTAACACCAGAACCCCTGACCCTGGGGCCATAAAATTCATAATTTTGGTAGAGGCACTCTTGCTCATCATAACTATGTACTTAGTTAGTTTATATAATACCCAGGAGCAGAGAAGAAGATTTTCAAAGAAATAATGCATTTTCACTATATAAACAATAGAGCCCCGTCCTAACACCAGAACCCCTGACCCTGGGGCCATAAAATTCAGAATTTTGGTAGAGGCACTCTTGCTCATCATAACTATGCACTTAGTTAGTTTATTTAATACCCAGGAGCAGAGAAGAAGATTTTCAAAGAAATAATGCATTTTCACTATATAATCAATAGAGCCCCGCCCTAACACCAGAACCCCTGACCCTGGGGCCATAAAATTCACAATTTTGGTAGAGGCACTCTTGCTCATCATAACTATGCACTTAGTTAATTTATTTAATACCTAGGAGCAGAGAAGAAGACTTTCAAAGATTTCATGTATTTTCACTATAAAATCAACAGAGCCCCGCCCTAACACCAGAACCCCTGACCCTGGGGCCATAAAATTCACAATTTTGGTAGAGGCACTCTTGCTCATCATAACTATGTACTTAGTTAGTTTATTTAATACCCAGGAGCAGAGAAGAAGATTTTCAAAGAAATAATGCATTTTCACTATATACTTATTTAGCCCCACCCTAGCACAAGAACCCCTGACCCCAGGGCCATGAATTTCACAATTTTGGTAGAGGACTCAGTGCTGATTACAATCAAGCAAACAGTTTGACTGCTTGATGTCCAGGAGTAAAGAAGAAGATTTTTAAAGATTGCATTAATTTAAGTGGTTTTGGCCCCACCCCCAGGCCCCAGGGGGGCAGGGATCATGAAATTCACAATTTTTGTTCCCCTTCACCCATAGATGCTTTGTGCCAAATTTGGTTGAAATTGGTTCAGTGGTTGCAGGGAAGAAGCTGAAAATGTTCAAAAGTTTACGACCGATTGACGACGAACGACGTACGACTACGGACGAAAACAGATAGCAATAGGTCACCTGAATGACTCAGGTGACCTAATAACTCAAGTCTATATGCTGTTACATACTAAATTATGTGACCAAGTTTAAGCCAATCAGAGAGCTTGGAATATATGATTAAGGGGAAGAAGGACTTTTAGCTGAAAAAATACCTGTCGTTTAATTTTTTTCATATTTTGTATATATCTTATTTAGTATGTCCCACATATCATAAAGCAGATATATCAATAGGTTTCTAGACTTATTTCTGAGATATTGAGTGACAAATACTATGCCCCACAGTGTATGAGCGCAGTTTTGATTCTCCATGTTTCTGGGCCCATTACGGTAGATAATTGAATTTTTTCAGCATACATAAAAATATGTCAGCGAAAATGTGTCTTTTAAAATATTTCAGAGTATGAATAGGATTAAAAATTCAAATAAGCAAGATTCTTTTGCCACACCACATCTGGAGACGGAAAATTACATACTTTTTAAGACAACTTAAACAACAAAAAAATTAATTTGCAAAAAATCCTATCATTCAATATTTGAAAATTTATGTTGAAATTCAAGTTCGTTGTGTTATTGATTTCTGTAAAAATATCGATTAGTGAAGCTGAGCTCAATATTGCACAGGACATAGTTAAACAAGACATGAACATGAGAAAAACGTGTCATGTTTACATTTCTCGAGTACTGGAAAACCCAACTATGACGTCACACATTTGCGAAATAAGACATGTCTACAAAATATTTCCATCAACAATAATGTAAAAATATTTTTTGTGTTCTCAAATTCAAAACATACCTCACCATGTACTGATCATGACCCGTTTTTAGCTCACCTGAGCCGAAGGCTCAAGTGAGCTTTTCTGATCAAAATTCATTTGTCATCTGTCGTCGGCGTCGTCGTTGTTGTCGTTGTAAACTTTTCACAATTTCATCTTCTTCTCAAGAACCACTGGGCCAATTTCAACCAAACATGCCACAAAGTATCCTTAGGTGAAGGGGATTTAAGTTTGTTCAAAGGAAGGGTCATCACCCTCTTCTAAGGGGAGATAATTATGAATTAGTGAAAAATTAATGGCATCTTTTAAAAATCTTCTTCTCAGGATACCTTGGGCCAGGAAAGATGAAACTCATGTGAAAGCATCCTCATGTAGTGTAGATTCAAGTTTGTTCAAATCATGACCCCTGGGGTAGGGTGGGGCCACAATGGCCGATCAGAGTTTTACATAGGAGTATATATGGGAAATCTTTAAAAATCTTCTTCTCAGGAACCACTGGGCCAGGAAAGATGAAACTCGTGAAAGCATCTTCATGTAGTGTAGATTCAAGTTTGTTCAAATCATGAACCACGGGGGTAGGGTGGGTCCAAAATGGCTGATCAAAGTTTTACATAGGACTATAGATAGGGAAATCTTTAAAAATCGTTTCTCAAGTACTTCAAAGCCATTATTAGTGATATTTAAATGGAATCATTCTCAGGTAGTGTAGATTCTAGTTTGTTCAAATTATAACCCTGAGGGATAGGGTGGGTCACAATCAGGGATCCAAGTTTTACATTAAAATATATATTTAAAAAAAATCTTCTTCTCATGAATAGCAAAGCCATGATTAGTGATACTAGTATTTATATGGAAGTATTTTGGGGTAGTGTAGAATTAAGTTTGTTCAAATCTTGATTTAAATTTATTCAAATCATGGCCCTTTGGGGTAGGGAGGGAAACAATGGGGAATCAAATTCAAATTTTTATGAAGTTATATATAGGAAGAAAATGTTTTTAAAAAATATTTATATCAAGAACAGCAAAGTAATATGCTGTATTAATATGAAGGTATTCTCAAGTAGTATTAAATTCAAGCCCTCCCCCTTCAGTAAACTTTTCAGTTCTGATCAGATTTGTGCTTTTTCCTAGCCGATTTGCTCAGCTGAGCGATGTGGCCCTTGGGCCTCTTGTTATGATATCATACTATACGTGTTTTTCTGTGTATAATCTTACCATACTGAGAGATCCACTATGACGTCAACAACTTGTTGGACATGCAGTATAGGGAAACAGAAGAGTGAATCAATTTTTTCTGTAATTTGATAATATTTGCAAGAAAATATGAGTATTTTAAATATTCTTTTACAAGATGGTGAATGCTAACAAACAGTCAAAAAATTATACTAGAACTGTGGTTTCAATCTTGTTAGGTACATCTTTTATCAGAGATTATGATGTAATTAAACTGAGTCATGTGACCATACATCCGTAGTCCCCTTAAAATAATATAGCCTTTTGATTTGGTAAAATCTCAGATATACAGACCTTAGAGATAGCATATCGACCTCTTGCTCATTTAATATGCTTTCTCTAAAGGTCTGTATATCGAGGGATTGACCTCATCAAAAGGCTATAATTGTTTAATATACCAGAATATCGATATTATTGCGCAGGCCTATTAATTATAAGGATCACAGCATTATATCTATGATTTTTTAGACCCTGCTTTGGCCTGGTAAGCTTTTCTGGTCAGAGACCAGAAGAGCTTATTGAATAGTAATGTGTCCGTCGTCCTTCTGTCTAGCTGTCTGTGTAGCTGTCTGTAAGCAATTTTTCAAAATGCTACTCCTCTAATAGATTTGGTTTGATTTTTTGATTTCCATATTTATTGCTGTGGCTGGGAAACCCAAAATATTCGTCGGAGCAAAACGTCATAACAAGTTAGGAAAGCTACAACAAACCACCCCAAGAACTAGCCTCAAATGTACTTATCTTGATTTTATTAATATATCCAAGCCAAAATATAACCTATATACAGTGTTATATGTACAACATGTAATCAGCAAAATAATACCTTTACCTTTAAAATACCTTGAACAAAAATACTATAGTGAAAGAAGTCAACGTAAACTAAAACGTCAATAAAATTTACGCAAGGATCTTCAATATTTTGAAGATGGAGGTATAAACAGAAAAAGAATTTTCCAATGACTGACACAATGAAAGTGTATCGAACACTTGGGAACATTTTTTTTAAAAATTAGATATGAGCTGCAAATTGGCCAACATTGACCTTTGGATATGTAAAAATTTAAGTTAAAATACACATTCTGTGCAATTGAGAAAAATGGCCAAGTTGCAGCTTGATGTACACAATGTCTTTGAAAACTGGTATGCATATGAATACCAATAGAAATGAGACAAAAGAGACACCCGTATCAAAAGCTAGTGTCGCTCAGCATTAATACTTTCATGTAATATAATATATCAAAACCTGCTCTTAAGATATTGTTTAATACCTCTAAGACATAAATTTAATGAATTTTGGAATTTTATTTTGTGTAAAACATTAGGATCCAACTATAACAGCTTATAATAAGTGCAGTCATTCTTTCAAAATAAAACATGGAGATTATTGAAATCTTTTTCACTGTTTCTTAACTTCACAGATTTACACTGTGAATATAGCGAATATTAACACTGCAAGTTATTTCCCCCTATACAGTATGATGGCATTGCATTTCATGATGGATTAGCTTTGAAGTTTTAAATTCACTCTATATCAGTGCTTAAATTTTAGAAATTAAAAGTTATTTTATTATTGAATTACTGCTGTGTGAAAATCAGAACATAGAAGAACTTATAGGTATACTCACAAGGTAAAAGTGAAACCACATAGTACAAAACCACTTGGCACGAACACAAATCAAGGCAAACCAACCTCTTAACCCCAGCAAATATGTATGTCCCCTGCATCAGGCAGTGCTATTTGTGTAAACCTGTCTAAATAACAAATTACAACTTAATTAGTAACTGTTGTGTATGAAATTTAAGCATACAATTCAATGAAGATTTTAGTACCTGTAAATGTTGAAATTTTTGTGATGTTGTTATTTATGTTGATTTGTCCTTCAGTGAAGCCCTCCTGGCATTGCCTGTATTCAAATCAGAGAATTTGGACAATGGGTAAGATAAAAAAAAATGCTGTTTCTAAAGTACAATAAATCATCAAGAGACATGGCTTCAGGGTATGTATATCAGTAAAAAAATAATTGTAAGTAAGTAAAGTATTTCATGTAGAGCAAATGAAAAGGTTATAAAGAAATAAGTGTAAGGAAAAAAAGAAGATGATTATTTTTTTATTTAACTTTTAGATTTCAGTATATCCTTGGAGCAGCAACCTCTCCTGCTGTAAAATTGAATGAAGAGACTTTGACCTACTTGAATCAAGGTGTGTTGTGTATTTTAATACTGTAAAATCGCATATGTACATGGGGCTAATTTTTCGTGGTTTGAGGAAAATCTTGTGGTTTGTGGGGATTTGATTTTGTGGATCAAGAATTAATGAGTACTTATGTATGCATGTATAAGATTTTACCTTTCGTGGTGAACATGAATTCGTGGATCTCGTCATACCTTGAAAACAACAAATCTTAAACCCCCACAAAAATTTGTGATTTATATTCCCTCTGTTTTGACCATACATATTTGAAAAATGTAGGATTTTCACATCTTACCCTTGCTGTTGGAATATATATATAGCACCATTTCACTCTTTACAGGGCAATCATATGAGATCAAACTGAAAAAGCTTGGTGATTTATCAGATTTTCAAGGAAAATATCTCAAGGTGAGTACCAAGGATGGAGTGTTAAAAGAAGTCATTTTTAAATGTTAACCAAAACCCTTTGTCATGAGCAAAATCTTACAATGATTACTGTAAAAGCATAAATATTCATGGGGCATTAAACAGCTCGGTTCACATTATGCATAAAATGGCCCTGTAGATATACCAATTTATTGATTAACAGTTGATGTTCCATATGAAGCATTAAAATAAAATAGAGACTTGGTGCTTTCATTTCCAACTAAAAATTTTCTCCTAAAAGTCCAGGTCTTGGAGAACTGGCTTTTTGAAATTGCAATGTTCTTGAATTTTAAGGTAAATAGGTATACCAGGAATTTGAGTACTTTCAAAGAAGAAAAATAATATGAGCACACTCTCTGATCAAAAAAATAAAACATGTCTTATAATCCTAAGAAACAGATCTATCATTCACTAGTTGCATATTTTAGATCAGAGGTTGCGTTCTATATCAGATATTGAAAATTAGCTTTGAAAATTGGCCATTTTTGTAGACTTTTTCAGAATATAATTAAATTGATGCATTTCATGACGTCATAATGCATTGACTAGTCAGAAAATTGCGTAATTTTTGATAGATACACAATCACCAAAGATCTAAGTGATATTCAATGCATTGTTAACTAAAACTAAGCAGTTTTAGTTATTCAGAAATTCACAGGGCCAAAAAAAAAGGCAAAGGTGAACGTTGTTCTTTCGTTTATTCCGTTGTTAACATTTACGAGGGACGTTCAATTAATAATGTCATCGGTGCTCGGAAAGAAACAAAAAACTGCTTTATTTCAATGATTTAGTCTTAATGATTAAACTAAAATATTCTCTTTTAATGAAAACACATGTCCGCATTTTTATTCAATTTCTAATTCTTTTTTGAACACATTTTTGAGTATCAGACCCTTTGTGTACTGGAATATGGCAGATCCTATGATTTCCTGTACTTGTTTTTTGTTCTGAAAGGTGTTTTTTTCAAGTTTGGGAAATGAAACAAGTCAAACGTTGGAAGTGCTTGCCAATATTGTTGGTGTGACAAAACATTAACTTTCTTTTTAACACCAGAACTCCTTTACTTTTCATGGCTTGTGGGTTTGGACGCTATCATGAAGAAATTTAATGTAGTGAATTCCTCATTCTGGCTGCTTCCTCTCAAATCCTTTCACTTTTTTGCAAACATTTTGCTTTCTAGACTCTTCCAGAAATTGAAATAACTCCCCCAATACGAATTTGAACAACAAGACCACTAATATTTTAAAAATAACACATAAAACTGTCTTTGTGCTGTTGCAATTCTTTGCTCTTTCAGCCATTTGCGGTTTTGTCACATGTTTCTCATTGTAAATTTGTTTTGATGGTTTGAAGCAAAATGGTTTCAAGTTTCATTATCTGTTTGAATTTCAGACAAACATGGATAAGTACATTTTTTTTTTTTTTTTTGAATAATTGTTTACATATTCCAACACGCTGTAGTTTTCAGTCATTTTCAAAATATTGGGTGACCTTTGAGTATTAAACTTTTTTTTTACTGTCACTATACTTTTTACTATCTTTAAAACAGTGTAACTACCCCCAAAATGATGTCTATCAAAGGAGTTTTCCACTTAAGTATAGTAGCTTGGTCCCTTTTTTCGCCCTTATTTTACACAAAATACTGGAGGATATGGTATTATTTTTATTTTCATTGTGTATAACATAGTATTTCTAATTGAAATGTTGAAGAGTCATTATTAATGACTTTGAGTATTAACCCTTTGTGTGCTGACTTGTTTTACGTGCACTGTAACTTCAGGACTGAGTTGTTTTGTAATATCAACAAAATTTTCACAATGGTGTACTAAAATGCAAATATCTAAAATTGTTGACAACCAATTTGCTTAAAATTTGGCAAATATATAGCAAATGTTGTGTTTTATTAATTGATTTTTTTTTTTAATCTAATATTTTATGTTGCCATGGAAACCAAATTTTCAAAAAATATATTTTGAAATGATTTTTTAGCTTTATAACTATATTTTTCAAAGAAAATATTGCACTTTGATGAAAAAAATTAACCAATTGCTTTAAAATTCAATTTTAGATTTAATATGTAAAAAAAAAAAAATTAATTAAACAATAACTCAATTATAAAGTCAATGTTTTATTGTTTTATATACCGTTATTTTGTGAAAAGTCATTGTATACTTATCTGAGTAAGGGATATATTTATGTAGGTTTAAGTGAATTCTGATTTAAGTTAATGGAATTTTTTTCAGATTTTTTACTTAAAAGAGTATAAATTGAAGATTCAATTAGCCTGTAAATATAAAACCAGTGATTATTTTAAGAAAAATTGGCAATCGTATAAGAAAGTATGATCCTCAAAGAATATGCAGTTTTCGAGGTCGGGAAATCTTGGAGCAAATTAGCACAACAATGAACTAATTGCTGTTACTAGTATTCATTTTCAAATTAAAGCAGTCAATATGTTAAATGAATTTAAAAAAAATAAAATAACATATTGATTACACTAAGTTATTGAGGTCTTATTTTCTAATGACTTGTATCTAACAGCCCTAAATATACTCTAGTAATTCTCATATCACTTTAAGTTTTTTTTATTGTGCTTTTATTGAAGAAAATGCAATTCACCATGTTATTTGTAAAGTTAACATATTCATCAACTTTCCTCCCACAATACTTCTCACTCTGTAAGAAATGCGGCATTTATTTTAGAAGTTTTATTCCTTCATGTAGCTGGCAACAATTATTGCCAGCAGGAAAACTAGAATTTTAAATTTCAGAAATTTAAGCACCGTTAACAGTCATTTAATAATGGTTTTTAAAAATTACTTCGTTGTGGTCACTGGTGAATAACAGTTTTGAATTTTTTTCAATTGATTTTAGTTAATGATGGTTGACAGATATGTACTGTAATATCAATTAATATATTATGAAATACTTATAAGTTTATGCAAGTGTAATGGTATGGGTCATGGATGTAGGCCTAGTAAGCTCAGTCAGTAGAGCATCTGACCAGTGATGCAGGGGTCCCTTCTTCGATTCACGGTCCAGTCATGCATTTTCTCCTTCCTTGTTACAGGTTTGATGCTACCCCTCTGGATTTGCAAGTGAAAGTACTGTCAGGGGCTAATTAATATAAACTATAATTTGGTTTGTGTCTGCAAGGATGAAGATAATTTTAAGGAAGGATATGTAATGGTTATGCTATGGGTATCAACCTGGGTAGCTCATTCGCTAGAGCACCTGACTTTTGAAGCAGGGTTCCTGGGTTCAATTCCTGGTCCAACCACACATTTTCTCCTTACCTGTTACAAGTTTTAAATGTGCCTGAATTTTTACTTCAACATAAAATATTATTCCTGATGATAAAATATATTTTATTTCTACCATGGGGTTTAATTCCTTGTATTCTAAGTAACTATTCACATTTTCATATTTAAAAAGAATCATATCTTTGGAGACCAAAATGTAATCTTTGTTGATTAATAACTGTATAGGAATTTGCATTTTTTGAAAAATGTTCTTGACCATCATTGAAAAAAATTTTCACAGTAAATCTTAGCTTTTTTACTGTATTAATTCAGGTATATATGATTATCTCTTATATCAAATGTACCTATCTTACATATCTAGAAGGGGTGGAATGTAGAAGCTTCTTGGGCCTTATAAACTTGTAAACTAAAGGACATATTACATATTAATATAGGTAAAACATGTACAGTGTGTACTTTTGAGTTTGAGAAGTACAATTCCTATCACCCAGTTTTTATTGTAATTTATTGAACAGATGTACATGCAAGTCCATACGATTCACAAATTACTCATTTTAAAGACTGATCTCCTTCTTATGCCTACAAAAATGACAATTCATCTTAATTTTAAACTGTATAGTTACCATTTATTTAACCAGTGAATTTTAAAATTTTATGTGTGCATGTACAGGTTGGGGCAGTCTCACTGTTTTTGGTTTTAATAAAATAGAAATAAAAAGTGGGGGAAATTTGCAATTTAATCCACATGCTTTATTCTGGCAAAAGTCTATTTTAAAGAAAAAGAAAATGTCTCCCTGATACTTAAACTTATACTTCTTCTTGGTTAAGAAAAAAAAATTCTGATACAAGTACCAATTATTTTCACTTAGTAATTAGGTTCCATGCAAACTAGAGTATGTAAATGCCTTGAAGAAATCTAACTCTAAGATACCAAAGATCCCGGAACATATTTTGGTTTTGAAATTTTTGAGAGTCTATATTATAATCCTCATCAAGGAAATAAAATGGTATTTTTAATACTTACTGAAATAAAACAAATACCACAGTTTAAACAAATGACAGTCATTTCAGGGAAAATCAGCACTTCAAAATTTGTTCATTACTTTTTACCATTTTCATGTATATGCACATGTTTGAATGCATCAATGCATCTTTTCTGATATGTTAATGTTTTTCATTTCTTCTCAATACTATTTGGATTTTTTAAAGTAAACTTCAGTTTTAGTGTGGAGAACTAGCTTACATTTGAATACACTAGAAAATATCAAGTTTATTTTTAAGTTTTATTTGTGCTAAAAATTTTACAATATATTATTATACTGTTATAAAAAATATTGGAAAGTTTTTAATTTTTAATTGTGCTAAAAATTTTACAAAATATTATTATACTGTTATAAAAAATATTTGAAAGTTTTCCCAAATAGTTGGAACATCAAGCAGCTTTAAACCAGAAATTTAAGGTGTAATTAGGGCCACTTCATAATTGTCAGTTTTTAGCTCACCTCAACGAAGTTGGGGGAGCTTATGTAATACCCTCGGCGTCGGCGTCGGTGTCGGCGTCGGTGTCGGTGTCGGCGTCCACGTCGGCGTCGGCGTCCCAGGTTAAGGTTAAGTTTTTTGGAGCAGTTTTCTTTTTAAGTACTTCTATGTCCTATATTGATTAGACATGCATGGAAGATGGTTCTAGTGTGGTTCATTGTACCAGTCAAAGTTTCAGATGCTGCAATTTCAGCAGAGGAATGACCAGGTTAATGTTTTTGGAGCAGGTTAACATTTT